AGGTGACATTAGGAGTCTTGGAGACCCCTGATGTCTCCATAAAGAGGACCTGTCACCTCTTTTGCAATTATGCCGCACATGTTACATATCGCTGCGAATGTTGGAATGAGAGCAATAGTTCTCGGCCCATCAATCACTGATAACACTAAACTGATGAGCTGTAAAAGCGTTTAAAGCGTCGCCTATGGCCAATTTTGGGTATGCTAGTTTTTTGCGATTTCGTGAGTGCGCGCAATTTCTAAGCTTGGCATGTTTTGTGTCTATTTACCCGACGTGACCCCATCTTTTATATTTTACCAAAAAAGTGGGTAATATTAGTTGTTTTATAACATGATGTAAAAAAACCCTTTTTTTTCACAATTTTCAGTAATTTCTCCTTATTATAGTAAAAAATTAAACCCCCAGTGGTGATTAAATACCACCATAAGAAAGCTCTATCTGTCCCCAAAAAATGGTATACAATTCATTTCAGTACAGCGTTGTATGACGGAATAAACGTCAGTCAAAGTACCGCAGCGCTGAATACTGAAAAATGGCCTGGCCAGGAAGGGGGTCTAAACACCTGGTCTTCAAGCAGTTAATTAGTTTTTTTAATGTCTTCATTTACTTCATCCCTTAATTAGTTGTTATAGCATAACATTAAAAGGAATACAATTATCACTTTGGTTGAATTTTTAGCTCCCTTAAAGTGGACCTTTACCCCCTTTCACTAAAAATTACATCATCATGCAGCTTATTAGTTAAACAAACATGTTTTTCATTTACTTACAAATAGAGTTCATCTACTTCGTGGTCCACTTCTGGCACAAATGATGTAATGTGCCAAAGTATTGCATCCTGGGAAGGTTACATCAGCAGAGCATTGCTGGGAAATCTCATCTGTAATCTCATGAAATCTCAGGGAAAGGCATTTTCCTCCCCTGAGATGATATGCATGGTCACATGTCCTAGTCACATGTGCCGCAGTTCCAGGCAGTAAAGGGAGATCTAGTGACCTGCCCTTTAGTTAAAATGACCAGTGTCAGAAGACTGGGGAAGAAAAGAGAAATAAGGTATGTAAAGAATACAAAGCCTGCAATTATCTAGACATATGTGTTTGTAGGCTGCCATTACTAGACATTTCTAAAGGTGTGTCTGTTGCTATTTTTAAGATATGGGTAAAGTTCCTCTTTAATTCCTAGATGGAAGAACAAGTTTTGGTTTAAAAATTAAATGCTAGATGTGTACTTCCATGCTCAGAATAAGTAAATCATACAAGTTTAACCACATCACAACACTCCCCATCCTGTACTTCTTTTTGTTATGGACTGAAAGGTAGTTAACTTACAGCCAGCAGATAGCGTCTGCCATGTTTGCACCCTATGATGCCCTGATTACTGTACGTGACCTTTTTCTTAGTTTTTCAAATTTTGTACTAAATCAAAAACCTAGGGGGGCTATTCACTAAAGAGCCAAAGGATTTAGCCGAAAGTTCAGCTAATCCTTCTGCTAGCTTCGGCTGCAGGAACCCTTTGGTTCAGCCGATCCGAAGGGCTGGTGTACAGGCTATTGTAAAGCCGAAGGCAAGCGAAGTAAACAGCCCAACCGAACGCACCTGCTTTGGCTTGGCACAGCCAAACACACAGCTAGAGCGGGGATAATTGTCCACAGAAGCAGACTAAGGCAGACCCCTGCAAGTTTCTAAAAGATTTGAAGACTCGATCAAGAACAGGACTCGATCCGCCGATTCATTTACATGCCAATTGAGGACACAGAGCTGTCATGGCATGAAAACAAATGGTCAGAGCCAGTTGTGGCATCACAACTCGCTCCACCCATTTGTTTAGATTGGGGCCAGACCGGTCATTTTGCGGCGGGAGTTTGACGGTAACAGTCGGGCGGGGGGACCTTTTAGATTTCGCCGAGTCGGCAGTCGTCGTTCATCGTGATTGACATTGGATTACATCGCTCAACATGATTGACCTTTGCATTGCATTGTTGGAGCCTTTTTTTTGTTTTGTTTTAAATAAAGGAGTATTCCAAAACTGACTTGTTAAAAACAATTTCAAGGTGTTGTGTGTTTATTTACTTTTTACTTAACTCTTTGTTGAATAAGTAGGGGTAACAACTATCCCTAACTCATTCACAAGGGGTGGCGGCATCTGGGTGCCCCATTTGTGGAAGATACCCATCTGTATACCCAGATGCAGATAAGCCCCCCTACCTACAGACCCCCACAACCACCGGGCCAGGCTTGTGGGGAAGAGACCCTTGTTCTCATTATCATGGGGACAAGGTGCTTCTGCAGTGGGTCCCCCCTGGAAAAACAAACTTCCCAATGCCGAGGGCATGTGATATGGTGCAGGGAGGGGGGGCAAACAATTTCCCCCCTCCCCCTTTCCTGCCCTGCCAGGCCAGTGCTTAGGTTAAGGGTCTGGTCTGAAATTTTAGGAGGGATCACACTTTTTTTTTTGCCATTGGGGTCACCCTTAAAATTCGCACCAGACCTAAAGGGTCTGATATGAATTTGTAGGGGAACCCTACATATTTTTTCGCTTTTTTTTTTTTTAAACTGGGGACCCTCCTAACATTCCTACCAGATCTAAAGGGTCTGATATGATTTGGGAGGGGCACCCCACACTGTTTAGTTTTTTCTTTTTACGGTGACAATAGCATTCAGCTATTCACTCCCTGCTGTTTGGCCTCTTGGAGAATAGGGGTGAACAGCAGAGAAGGAACTGCAGAACGTATGCCTCAGCCGATCCAGATGTTGCATCGGCTGTGGCGAACGGGTTCTTCCTTTCTGTTACGCCCAACGTGCTGAGGCTGTTTGGCCGAACCGAATGGAGGTGAAGGGGGCCAAATGCAGCCAATGTAAGGCTAAAAATAGCCGTACAGGGCTGCAGTGAATAGCCGAAGAGACTTCAGCTCACTTCACTTCGGTTTGCATATTCATTCGGCTGCCTTTGGCAGCTTAGTGACTGGCCCTCTGTGTGTTCCTAATGACTGATGCTAAGTGGAAGATTTAACAAGCCCAATTTTCCAATGTAAATTTGCAGTTAATGGCAGTTTTTTTTGTAATATTATCATTTATGTGCTTTAATTCATTTTATTTAAAATTTTTATAGTGTTTTCACTCTCAAAACTATTGTGTTTTCTAAATTTCTATGAAAAATGACATAGTAAAATGTGATAGGGGTATTAATAGCATTAACAGTAAAAGGTGTAGTGAATAAAAGAAATAAAATGTAAGTGTAAGTGAATAAACAAAATAAAAATAAATCCCTAAACCATTCAATCATCTATCAAGAAGCATCAAGCAGTAAAATGTTTATTTGAGCAATAGTTCCCCAATGATTTTTCCTTCAATAAAGCAGTCCCTGTTGCCTCATCATTGTATGTGCTTAACTTCTTTTAATTAGTTCAGTTCAAAACATTCAATCAATCATATTGTTACAGGTTGCGCATCTACTGTGTTGAGTTCTTATGCTTCTGTTGTACTGTATATTGGTTTATTGCTAATACAGACTGAATAAATGATTTATGTAAGAGTGACATTCAAGCAAAGCTGTCCTATATTGTTTTGAAGTTTAAACAGTTTTTTTTCTTTTAACAAGTTGCATAGTTTTAACGTGATTTACGGTGAAAGGTTTATAGTCAAAACTTCTTGAGAGTATTCTTTAAAATATTACTGAAGCCGCAGAATGCCTCTGTCATTTTTGTCTTCAATAAACATAAATATTCTCTTGAGTAGCACACTCTAAAATAGTGGATCTCAATCTTTGTTGGTCTACTTGATGGATGCAGTGGACCAACTTCTCCTTACATTGTATAACTATCCCCATATTATGGTACAACATAGCATAGCTATTTTTTTTAAATAAATGTTGTAAAAAGTACTAATATTTTTACCAAATTGTATATAGCAATTTTTTTATACATAAACCATTTATGTAAAAGGCATTTCATGGTGCTTGCTCTTAGGCATGTCGTTAACTTTTAAACATTCAAGATGAAGTACAGTTTCACTTTAATGTCAAGAATGGAGTTGCTTTTGCTTAAAAATCAAAGAAGTGATATTTGAATCCAAGGTGGACTGCTCCTATGATGAGTTGCATGTTTAACTGATTCTGCTTTGTTTTCCTTTTTTTGCAAGTTTTTTTTATTAGAAATAAAATAAAAAATAAATAGAAATTATTAAAATAATACAATGAAATTGAAGATACAGGTAAGAAAGTTAAAAAATAAAAAAACATAACATTTTATCTTTGAATTTGTACTTGCATTACAAAGTAATTAGATGTTTGACAGCCATTTTTTCTTAGTCTTCCTATTTTTGCTGCTAATACAGTTATTATTGGATTTTTGTTTGCTTTCAAAAAGCTTGGCAACTTGTGTCTACCTATTTCTGGCTGTGTTTTTACTCTGCTATTAAAATCTTCCTCCTTAGCATTTCCGCCCCTTCTCTTTCTTACACCGTTTGTGTAGTTTGGACAGTGGTACAGAGCACATCACATCCAGAGAGCATTAATAAAGATAAAGCAGATAATTGGTGGTCTGTGGACCACACCTTCATAACCTCTGTGCTAAAACAAAGCAGTCTAGTCTAGGCTAGTGACTTATAAATCGTATGCTGCACACATTAAGTCATTTTATAGCTGGAGTGTAATCTGAACTTTCTGCAAACCCCCTACTGCATAACCTGAAAGAAATAGCTCTAACAATGCTTTTACAAAGTTTGTTCAAAATCCTGAACTCTAAAAGTTAGGCCATCTAAATATCATATATTTGAATTCAAGAAATACATTTGACACGTTCCTTATAACAATAATTTTGTTAGGTAAGGGTTCCTCATCGGGGCCTTGATAAAGGAAAGATTATATTGAATATATGATTATATATATTATTATATATTATATTTTTTTAAATAAAATTCAGAATGAAATTTTCTGTAATATTTTTTTTTTCTGTTTGCATGTCTATGTTTACCAATTAAAATATTTTCATATATTTTCTTCTAGGACTTCTTGCTGAATCAATTGGACAAAGAGACATACAAACCTTTGTTGATAAACTTTTCAGCTCAGACCACAGCAGCTCAGACTCAGAACATCATAATGTCTAAGCTGGATAAGAGAAGGAAAGGTGTTTTTGGTCCTCCACTGGGAAAGAAAACGGTAATACTTTTAGGTGTATGCTTGCATTCATTTATCTGTAATATTAAAACAGTGCTGTCCTTGTGCACCACTGTAGCTCTAGCTCTCTTTGTAAACTGGTTAAAGTCTGTCTGGGCTTCCACTTGCCTGCAGGCATATTTTATTATTGCTGCAAATTGGAACTGATGTACTTTTGTCTGAATTGCTGTAGAGGATGATCATTATTTTTAGGGTTCTATTTATGGGTTTTCCAAACAAATAAAGTGCATTGCAGAAATGAGTCGCTAAAACCTATTTTGTTTCATGCCATATGTAACCAATATGTTTGAATAAACATTACATCTAGAAAAATGTACAGAAGTCCAGAACGAAATATAGTCCAGAATGGGTTATTTACTAAAGAGCCAAAGGATCCAACCGTAGCTTCGGCTGGTCATTCGGCTGTCTTTGGCCGTGGAGCACTTTGGTTGAGTTGAACTTAAGGGCTGCTGTATGGGCTATTCATAATAGCGCGTACAGCAGCCGGAGGTGGCCGAGCGGCTCAGCCGAGCCGAAGGCATATGTTTCAGCTCGACTGAGCCGAAGTGACAGTTGAAGTGGGGACAGCGGCTTGCGGAAGGGCCAGCCGTTCGCCTCGCAAATGACAGCTGGGCAGAGTCAGCCGTGAAATGAGATAAGGAAACCAACAAGGCACAACCAGAAAGAAAACCTACATACGTATTGAGCACTGAACTACCATATAGCAGCCCATGCAGTGGCTATGGAGCCCAGACGAGGGAGGGCTCATTCTGGATCCCTGAGTTGAGGAGTGGTGAGCTCAAGGAAGCTCCCCTGTGTGTCCTAGGATCCAGAGTGCAAAGCAGCATTGGGTTCCCGATGCTAGAATACTGAGCATACAAAGTTATATAATGTATATGTACATATCTAAAAACATAAAAAAAACCTTCCCTTTAATCACTGGAGCAAAACTCTCTTAAAACAGCATACCTGTATAGTTTTTTTTATCTGTGCAACCTGGGTTCCATAAATCCCTGGGTGCTCTGGCATGCTGGTATTCTGTGCTGCCAGCATGCTCAATAGAAAAGTCAAACTGACATGTAGGCATCTGAAGACTTTTAGAAGGCTTTAAAGTCATATTAACATATTTGTTTGCAGGTTGTATTTGTAGATGATGTGAACATGCCTGCCAGAGAGGTCTATGGCGCTCAACCCCCGGTGGAATTGCTGCGTCAGTGGTTAGATCATTGGAACTGGTATGATCTGAAAGACTGCTTGATGATCAAGCTAACTGACATACAAATCATATGTGCTATGGGACCAGCAGGTAATTCAATGAGCATGACCAATATGACTTTATGTATGAGCTGTGGCTAGAAATATGTTTTGCAAGTTAGGTTCAAAATACTTTGGTAATTAGAGAAGGATTAGAGAATGTTCACTAAGCAAGTTGAAGGTACAGTATGCTCACTTGGAATGTTTAATTATGTGCACAGAAATAAAAAAAAAATAGGATTTTACCTTCCACTTGATTGGATGATGCAGTGAAGAAAGCTTAGTCTCATTAAGTCAATGTCTTCCCTTAAAGCAGTCAATCTGTGATTTATGTATTTATTTATGTATTTGTGAATGCTGTACAACCATTTAACAGGACACCCTATGGACTATTAATTAGTTTAGAACAAATATGCCCAGAACCGGATTTACCCTCCCTGCCGCCCCAAGGCGGGGTTCGGCAATGCGTCCCCCCCCCCTATTATTTCTGTAATTATTTTGTTATCAATTTTTTTTCACGTAGCTTTATTGCTATCACAAGTCACTGTGTGATAGCATTTGGTGGTGACAGGTTCTCTTTATTGAACCCCAATACAGGAGCACTATGCTGGAACTCCTGTGACAGGGGAGAGGGGTAGAGCACAGCTCTCCCCTCTCACTGTGTACACGGAGCGGCAGGTTTACTTTTAACCTTGCCGCTCTGCTCACCACTCTCCATCCTGATGACGCCGGCGGCGAGGACAGAGCCGGAAGGACGCAGCATGGAGAGAGGTAAGTGCTGGGGAGGGAGGGGGCAGCGGGGGGAGGACGGACCAGCAGTCTAATTACAAGTGATCTCGGTGACATCGCCGAGATTACTTGTAAAGAAACAGTTGATTTCTACTATTCTACATTTAGCTCTGCTTGTGCAAAGCAGAGCTAAATGTAGAAAACAAATTACCACCCGGCGCACGGAACGCCATGTTTCGGGCGTTCGGTGTGCCGCCCCTCTGCTCAGTGCCGCCCCGAAGCTGGGCCTCGGAGTCCTTGCCGGGAAAAAGCCTTAGCCCTATGTAATCTCTATCCAGAGCGGTGCTTTTCCCTTCACTATTGCAGGAAAACGAAATAGCAGGTTAGAGAAAGGAAGGTGTGTATGTGTAGTTGAGGGGGAAGGTATTTAAGTCTGTAACCTGTTGCATAGCTTTGTATGAGCAAAACACCAGTTCACCTTAAAGCGGACCTTTACATTCAAAAATGAAATTCTACCAATACATCCCTCTATGTATGATGATATATAATAATAACATAGACATGTCAGGTTTGATGAAAAACTATGATTTTTAAATATTTACACTTGGTTTGGCAAAGCAATGCACACTGGGATTGCCTTGTCATCAGCAGAGCATTGCTGGGAAATCTCATCTGTAATCTCACGAGATCTCAGGGAATGGCATTTTCCTCCCATGATTGATATGCATGGTCACATGTCATAGTCACATGTTTAGTCACATGTGCCAGTAATCCAGGAAGTAATAAGAGAGCTAGTAATCTGCCCTTAGTAAACATGGCCACTGTCTGAAGGCTGGAGAAGAAAAGAGAAATAAGGTGTGCAAAGAATACAAAGCCTGCAAATATCTAGAAGTATGTGTTTGTTGATTGTCATTACTAAACATTTCTAAAGGTGTGTTTGTTGTTATTTTAAAGATATGGGTAAATGTTTAGTACATTGAAGTTGTACAGAGAGTCTTCTATCTATATAGATATGGAGGAGATCATAACAAATGTTTGCGTCAGACACAGGTAGATCCCTATGGCAGATATTCCTCTCAGACTGTCTTGATTTTGTTTATAGGTAGATAGATATGTTCTGTTTCACATAATTATTATGCATTGTGTGTATGGTTTCTAGTGATCTTCTCTTACTACCTGATTATGCTAATGTGGAAGACTCTGAAATGCAATTGTATGTTATACTGTTTGTGCATCATGTGCTATCTTATTGTTTTATTCTATTCTGGAAAAAATTATAATATACTTTGAAAGATAAAGATATGGGTAAAGGTCCGCTTTAAAATGATTTTCAAACTGCTTGCAGTTTTTGTTTCATGTTTTTAAATATGATCAAACACAATTTAAGGTAATGTAATTTATACATGTTAATGAAGCCTGTGATAAGAAAATATGCTGGCTGCCATTGTTGACCACCTTCTGAAAATACTAGGGGCCTTGCAGAAATGACCAATGCCCTGGATATGGTTGCCACCTCATCCCTGTAGTGCATGTATGACCAATACTTTTTTTTTTGTTTTAAATAAAATAGGTTAAGGTTAAAACACCTGTCAGTTTATTTTTTGCTGTTAAAGTCATTTTCCTTTATTTCTGTCTCAGAAAGTAAGAAATATCTTTACACATTGAGGGGAATTTACCTCTTAGACAGTTGTCACAGAAACAGTTGCCCCCATGGGAATATTTACCCCCATTTTTGTTCTAGTGACTCTAACATGTTAGATTTCCCCTATACTTTATGTCTTGGGGGACAGTGGCCCCCAGGACAAATAGAATCATTTTATCCCTAGTTGGGGCACAGTCAGCAATACAAATTTGACAGGGGAACAAACCCTTTCCCAATATATCCAAAACCAATTTAAAAAAAGGATCGGCAACACATACACTTTAAAACCACAGGTTCTCTGGCTGAATAAGGTAGTAATTAGATTCACTGTATGCCTTGCCTGTATTGTACAATTGTCTACTATATTCATGTCATGCCTCAGCTTGTTTTTTCACTGTCTAGGTGGTGGAAGGAATGTTATAACACCACGATTCCTAAGGCATTTCAATACAGTTACCATTAATGAATTTGATGATAATTCAATGTACACAATATTCTCCAGAATATTAGACTGGCATCTTTCAATAAGGTAAGCACACCTCCACATAATTTAAACAGTTACATATATTATCTGGCAACCCTAAATTGACTATGCTCATCCATATATAGACTCAAGGCATGTATTCTCTCTGTAAAAGAGGCTCTAGGTAACCCCCTTTCCCTGAGCAAAAGACAATGCATTTTCTTTCTCCTGTCCATCTTCCTCTCCTCTCAGTTCCCTTCAGCCCCTTCGGTCCTATTTTCTCTTCTCCCTCTTCTCATCTTTTATTAACTCCTCTCTCTTTGTAGAAAGCCCTCTAGAATTATTAACAACTTCCTTAATCACTACCAAGTCTGGTCTCTTTCATAGCATTCAAATTTCAGTTAGGCACCCTGACAAGGACTCTGGTGGCAATTGGTTCTTCTTCTCACCATTGAGCCTTGTTTTGATATTTCAGTATTTCTGTTCTTCAGCCATATAAACTTTCCACCTTAGAGAACAACTTGGACAAACAAATCTTCTGCTTAAACCTACTGTATTTCATAATGAAGTACAGTTTGCCACTCACAATGCAATAGACACTTTAGCAGCAACGTCAAATGCCAGTGGCCTTCTGCTATAATAATTGAGAACCATGTTACCTCCTCTTACTCACACCTTTGATCCAGCAAACATCTTGATGCATATTTTATGCACTATTTACAATCATAGTTCCTTCTGTAGAGAGTTCATGCTTTGTGCTGTTTGACCTTTGTCTAGCATTCTGAATTCTTACAATAAAAAGATTGAAACCAACAAGATACATTCAGGAACCTAATATTCATTACTTTTAAAATGAGCATATAATAGCCATGTTCCCCATCTCCAGTGTTCTCTCCTTATACCTTTGTAGCACTGCTGGAGCTGAAATACATAATATATATATATATAGCTGCAAATTACCATAACTTTCTATTTCTATTTCCCTGCAACATTACCTGATCTTGCACAGACTTTCTTTGAATTTTCCTTGGTGCCTTTCTAGGAAAATATAATCTAAGGTTTCACTTACATTTATTTAAATACATAGTATTATATTGGTTCCGGCATTAGCAGATTGTCATTAGGATTCAGAAAGGATATTTCTCCCTTTTAAAGTAAATCGGACCATCGTTAGTATGTCTTTTCATTTCATTTTATAAAGCTGAACATAATGCTCATATATGCTTTTTCAAACTGTGTAACTATGTTGACAATATTTAATTACTGTGATTGATTTTTTTAGTCTGCAATTTTGATTTAATTTGAATCATCATAAGGTGCTAGAATTTAACGCCTTGCAAATGACATTTAAAGTGATTTTAATGGCTGTAAATGTCAAGTGGAAATTTTAATTTTTTTAAGCATCACTGCAAGAACTGGTTAAAAAGCACTCAGTTTTAGCTTTCAAAACGTGTGGTGTTAATTTAAGGGATCATAGATATTTATGAGCTGGGTTCAGCTTCTGTCTAGAAGCTTTTGCATTTTTAGAATGAGATACTGAAATACTAGCCAGGAGCTATCTTTGATTGGTTCACTTTAGACAATAATGTACTGTTCGCTGATAATAAATAATCTCAATGGCAAAATACCACTTTGGTGTAACTCTGCCAAACCTCCATGCCAGACTCAGGAATCCAACTTACTAGCTGAGCTAGTTTTGGCAACCCTGACAAGACCACAGTGCTGGCTGTGGTGGAATAGGCCTGTCTATACTCTATTGTATGTAATTGTGCCCAAAGTAATTGGCAAGCTCAAGAAAGGACAATATACCTTGTATTCCTGGATGATTTATTTTTTTTAAGCATAGATACCCTTTAACAGCAAAGAAGAATTAGACAATCTATGATACTGAAACTATAACACAGGAAACATTTTTAAAATATGGAAGCCTAAAAAGTGGTGCTTTTTTTGGGTGTAGGGGCATCAAATCAAATGTTTTCTGCACATTAAATTAACTAAAGGAGTTCTAAAGTCACAGCATATACTTTCCTGTTATAACATCAGCATTGTAATGGGGATACATACCATAGTTGTTTATGATAATGCAATAAAAACTTAATTGAACAAATCCCTTTTATGTAGTGACTGCTGCATTGTGTTTGCATCACTTTCCCACCTGCTAGATATGATAAAATCTTGATTTCTCAAGACTACATAGCCCATAATGCATTGCTTCCAGCAAGCAATGATAATATTAAATTTTTCAGACATTGAGTTATAGTTTAGAAAGCAGGCTCTGTGAGAGTTGTGACACAAGGAAGTTCATATTCACAGGGCTTAGTGAAATTGTGTCAGTGGATTGAGGAAGTAATTCCTATGGCCATCTTTAATAAATAAGCTTACAAACGTCTATGTCAATATGGTTATTAGGAGTGGTGTAGAGCTTATGGAAATTCAATAAAGAAATAGATATATATTTTCAGTTTTTGACCATAGGTACTCTTTAACTGGTGATTTACATACAGCAATTAAAGGAGAACTATGAGATGAGTGCTTTTCACTCACCTCATAGTTCTAGCCGACCTGTGACAATGAGACTGTCACAGGTCGGATCAGTAGATCGGGAGGTGAGCGAAAGCTCCCTATATACTGAGCTTAGGGTGATGGGAGGACGCTAGTTTGTGTCCTCCCGTTACCCTAAGAAGAACTATGGAGAAAAGACTTAACCCCATAGTTCTCCTTTAATACACTGCACTGAATACATAAGAAGTTCAATGCGTACTGTTTAATATTTTCCAAAGGAAGCAATTTGTATTGTGTAATAATTTAACGCATTAAAGGAAATTTTGGATTCACAGCTGTGCAGCTAATAAAAGAACTGGTTTAAGTTGGGCTGTATTCAGCTAACTGCTTTTTTCTACCCTTAAACCAAAAAGACTACTGCATCTGTATGGCTCCAAAAGCAAAGGGGCAGGAGAGATCCATGGTGCTCTGTGGTGTTTTACCCAGTTTACTTTCAAGTGCAAATTTATGAAAAGTAAGAAATATTGCTCTCTAGATGTTGGTATACTTAATACCGTGTTTCCCCGAAAATAAGACAGTGTCTTATTTTTTTTTTTCACGAAAAAAGACACTAGGTCTTATTTTTCGGGGGATGTCTTACCTGGCTGCTGCTGCTACATGTTTAGTTCACAAAAGAGAGAATTCTAGATAATAATTAATGAAAACCCATGATATGCTTACATCTTTCTAAAAATGCTTGTTCCCTGGCTGTCACACAGGCTTAAATATGTTTTTTGAGCTACTCACTAGAAAAGCCTCTATAAACCAGATGTGTTTACTACACCTAGTGTTTGTTTGTTTTTGTTCAGTTAATCAGAGAATATTAGAGCCAGAAGATCAGCATAGTCAGGAAACTAGCATTATCCGATGGAGGTCATCCGTGGAAGCTCATATATATTTATGACTTTCTTACCCTTACATTATATTATACACCACAAAGAAATCCCTGGTTAGTCTAATATGTTTTTTCCTATTTCTAAGGTACACCTTCATGAGTGAATATTCGATGCTAACACCACAAATTATACATAGTACCATGGCAGTATACAAGGAAGCAATGAAAAACTTACTACCCACACCTACAAAGTCTCATTATTTATTCAATCTTCGGGACTTTTCTCGTGTCATTCAAGGAATTTGCTTGTCACGTCCTGAAACAACTGATTCACCTTTATTGATTAAGAGGCTTTGGGTTCATGAGGTAAGTCTAATTAACTTGCACTAATTCTCTTTTGTGTTAAGAAACCTAGAGTCAGTTTACCCAAAGGAGATAATTTAGTTATAGGTGGATTCTGATGGTCTAGGCCACCTACTGGCTTCTTATATGTCTTGGGGACTCCAGTGCCATCGTACTAACTACATATTTTTTAGCACACTTTGGAATTTTGGGTGTTCAAACACTAAATTATATTTTCCGACTCCACCTGTAGCATTCTCTGTGTTATCCCTAAAAGATATAAGAAACCATTATTAGGTGGTTCACATCTCCAAGAGGTATCAAAACTAAAATATCGGTTTTGGGTGCTCCCCTTAAAGCTTGGCTATATTGCTACTGTTGGGTGATTCTACAACATGAATTAACAAAGATTTGAGTTTCAGTACTTTAAAAGAGATTCTGGGGGTGATTTACTAACCTAAACACACACACACACCAGGTGTGTGTGATTTTCACACAGCAAAACGTATTTATCAACCAAAAAGTCTCTAAAAGCATATTTCCACTAATGCCATATATGTAAAAATCATGCACATGATGCATATATAATGCTGCTTCACAGTTTAGACAAAAATGGTTAGCTCATGCATTTACATTCCTTGCATTCATCAACGCAAGCAACACAACATAGAGCTAATTTACCCAACATCACCTTGGAATTCCTTCAGGGCTTTGCACAACACACCTGCTGGGTGTGTACACATTACAAAGGTGTTTAGATTCCACCCATAGATCATGCTGGGAGGGAACACACTGCAGAGGTGTATACACGTTCGTGGTGTGTTTATATGGTTAGTAAATCAACCCCTCTGTGTAGAGTCTTAAGAAAGATTGGAATTACAAAGTCAGAAAACATGAAAAATGTATACAGTTATATGAAGAGTTACTTTTAAGACTATAATGATGAATATTGCATCACTAGCAATGTAAGAACCTAGGATGTAATTCATATGCTCTAATGACCTTCCCCACAAAGAAAATGCTCAAGGGTATAGTTGACGGGACCTAGGTCCTGAGCTGTTTATCAGAGCTGCTGTCAGCAGCTTTTGCTGTGATGATTGATGTATCAGGTGTTACATTATAAGTGGTAGTTCAAATTCAAACAGTGTTATTTAAACAAAAATAGGTACATTATAATTAGCTGTAATTGTCATAGGGAAGCTAAATATGATTCTTTTCTTAACAATGAAGCTTCTAAAATAAACTAAATAAAATAAATAATTCCTATTTGTCCCTGATTACTCAACTTGTTAGCCCTAACTAGCCCTTAATAACTTCTTTGTTATCCTGCTTTTCCTAGGTATTTTCCTTTCCCACCCTTTGCTCAGAAGTCATACTTTTCTCCAGTTACCACTGTTAAAGCATTTTGTGTGCATATTCTCTGGTCTTTTCCGCTGCCTGCCTTTAGTGTCCTAGTCACCTCCGACTGCCTACAATCTTTACCAGCTACTGCTGTCTGGATTTCTGAGTACACATGACCTTGCCTCACATTGAGTCAGGCGCTTGCCATTAAGGCTAGCCATACATGCGTAGATTTCTTTTGTTCAGTCCTGTGGGCTAAATGAGAGATACATATCACTGCTGATAGAATGCAGTCACTGTCTGGCTGACAATTTTCCACTGTGCTCCTTTGATTTTGAAGTTTTTTTTTTTTTTTAAAGAATAAAGTTTATTAGTTTTACAAAAAAAGCACAGAATAAGACAGATTGAAGTGAGGGCAAACACTTCCCTGAGAAGTGAGAAGCGAAGAACGCAATACAGGGTATGATAAGAACTTTCGAAGATCAATTAAACAGATGTCCAGATATTACTCAAAGCATAGGTAAAACATATCCTAAGCAGAGGAATGGTTACCCCTGCAAACATGCACATAGAAAATAATTTAGATATCATTTTTTAAATATGGCTATAAAATAATGACTGCATTTAAATTTCTGTCATCACTGCTAGCCTTCTCAGCATAAATATTTTTAATAAAACTTTAATATTTTTTATTCTGTAGGTCCTTCGGGTTTACTACGACCGACTTGTTGATAATGCAGATCGATCCTGGCTTGTTGGATATATTCAGGAAGTTGTGAAAAGTCACATGAGGGAAGACTTTCATCAACTATTTCAGCATCTAGATTTTAATAAAGATGGCAAAGTTGAGGAGGATGACTTGCGCAGTTTAATGTTCTGTGATTTCCATGACCTTAAGAGGGAAGACACAAATTACAAAGAAATAACTGATGTTGATAAACTATGTTTAGTTGTGGATAGCCATCTGGAAGAATTCAATAACATTAGCAAAAAACCAATGAATTTGGTTTTGTTCCGATTTGCAATAGAACACATATGTAGAATCTCACGTATTCTGAAACAGCCCAGTAGCCATGCTCTATTAGTTGGTGTTGGTGGAAGTGGCCGTCAGTCAGTCACTCGATTAGCTGTTCACATGGCTGACCAGAAACTTTTCCAAGTGGAGATCTCAAAGAGCTATGGTATTGTTGAATGGCGGGAAGACTTAAAGCTAATTTTGAGACAGTCTGCTGAGGGGGAAATGCAAGGAGTATTTCTGTTTACAGACTCACAGATTAAGAAAGAATCTTTCTTGGAAGACATTAATAATTTGCTTAATGCAGGAGAGGTTCCAAATCTTTTTGCAGCTGATGAGAAACAAGAGATTTGTGAAAGGATGCGACAAATAGACCGGCAAAGAGATAAACTAAAACAAACCGATGGTAGCCCTCTTGCTCTTTTCAACTTGTTCATTGACCGTTGCCGTGATCAACTACACGTCGTCCTTGCAATGAGTCCAATAGGAGATGCATTCCGAAACCGACTCCGGAAGTTTCCAGCTCTTGTTAACTGTTGTACAATTGATTGGTTTCAGGTATTTTTTTTATATTATTAATATAAAATTTTGATTAGGAACCTTTAGCTTCTTCAGATACATGAAGATAGGTGGGAGTCTTGTTTTACTCCCACCTATACACATGCTTAGTTTGATTACAAAAAAGTATTATTGATTGCATTGAGTATCAGTAACTGATAATACATAGGATTGCTAACATGCTAACATGATGTGTATCAACTAGCTAATGTTTCATGCAAAATGGTATGCCTGGTAGGACTTGAACGCAGCTTTCTAGCTCTGCAAGGCTACTGCTAAGCTATTTAGCTGCAACATATTGAAAATAGGTTTAATTATGGGAATGGCCATGCGGAGTTATGTTTTTATTCCCAGGTTTTATTATTAACATTTTATTTTATTTGTTTTTGCTAATATTGTGTAAAAACTGCTATGGTCACCACAGCTTTATATCATACTTGATTAAATGGTTTAATGAATATTCTCTTTCAAACCCGTTTTCTAGACCTGGCCTGAAGATGCACTTCAAGCTGTAGCAACACGCTTTTTAGAAGATATTGAAATGTCAGAAGAAATTAAGAATGGTTGCATTGACATGTGTAAAATCTTCCACACATCTACCATTAACCTGTCTGAGAAGTTCCGCATGGAGCTACAGAGATATAATTATGTTACACCCACATCTTATTTGGAACTAATCTCTACATTTAAAACATTACTGGAGAAGAAACGATTGTAAGTATCTATTACTAGATCGGGTGGAACATTTAAAAGATTCTAGCATGATGGAGCCTAAAGCCACACAAATTACTACTGCTGGGGCAAAATACATTTTAGTCGATCAAATCATATTGAAATGAACATGTTTGCCATTAGTACTAGTATCACAAGATGGTTTTCTAAAACCTATGAGCATCTTACATTGTTTTATAGCTCAAAATGCAGTAAATGGCAGCTATTGCAAGGTACACAACTTGATAATAAGCAACCTAGGGTTATACTGCGGTCTACAGAAGAAATTAACATTAGGCACAGAGAAAACTGGAGGCCAGCCTCCTAGAGGCTATAACCCCTGTTTTTTCCCTTCTGCTATATTTTTTTGCTTAAAATGAAAGATCTTTCTAGTATGAGCAGCTACTAGTAGATTCAGTAGCTGGATATTAGAAATCCTGTAAGTCTTTCCAGTTAACCAATGTGTGTAGGTTTTCTCAGTTCATTACATTTACTGGTATATGCAGTACACCAGCAACGTTCCTGCAGTTGGCAGTGAAAACCCATCTGTATTCCAGTTAGCGCAGGACTTCACTATTCAGGGCAGGCCAGTATATCTGGGAATCTTCAGAGAGTTATTGAGGCCAGAGATTACCTGTCCCTGTCTCTGAAGATTCACTGGTGCAAGTTGTTAGCAGACTATATGGTATTTTGTGGATTTTGTTCTTCATATTTGTACATGAGGTTTTGTGTATGGAACTTCCTACAGAAGATGCTGTAACTGACCAGGAAGTAATTAATAGGAGTACAAGGTTTTCCTTTTTTAATTGAACATTCCTTAATATTTATATAGGTTTGCAGGTTGGGAATTATTTGTTAGGACTGTGGAAATCCTCCTTTTTATTATTACACCTGCACTGTACACCCCTGCCTTTTGGTGGCTGGGCACTGTTTATGCCCAAAACTCCACTGTTTAATTTGTCTCAGGATTTGCTGACACAGTGCCGCAATATAGTGAGCATGCATGCACAAGCCTCTTCCTCCTGCATTTTTTTTGTATTTAGATTCATGAGTTATCTCCACAAGCAGTGCAGCAAACTCCTCTGAACACAGACACAGCAATTTGGCGGTGGACAGTCCCCTTGTGATCCTAGTGCACCAGCTGCAGTAACAGTGACAACTTTTAACTTTTGTTTCTGGTAGTTCCTTTTTTAATGGTACATAACTTTCTGGTTCTTAGCAACATGTCTGACACCAAGCAGAAGGCAGGCACCATCTAATCAGGACCAAACACATGTTACAATGGAGAGCTTGGAGCAGGGAAATAATGTGCCCTTTGCTCTTCTAACAGGTCCCAGTTAGAACCACCTTCACTAGTGGCCATTTCTTACCTTCCTCATTCATTCTTTGGTGCTTATTGCTCTTTCTGTCTCACAGCAGAGGTATCATTTTCTGTTATGCAAGGATTTATGCTCCCATGCTTCTCCCCCTGATCAAAGGCGCTTAAAATGCATATCACCAGTGGAATGTGAGGCAGAGATGCCTCATAGCTCTGATTCTATTGGGGATCCTCCAAAGGACTCATTATTCATTGCTCCATCCTCATTATCCATTCCTCTCTAGAGGAAGAGATCCCACCAGCTGAACTTCAGTCAGCAGTTTCACCAAAACAGAAGGAAAATGTGTCCTTTATAATTGAAGCTGTACTTTCCACTTTAAAATTAGAGGCTTCCACCATTTCTTTCCATATCATGGTGTCTGGGCTTGGTTCTCATTGACCCAAATGTTCCACCAAGGTGTTTCCTCATCTTCCTCTATTTAATCATTTTATACAAGGTTTGGAAACACCCAGGCAAACATTCCCTTGCCCCTTAGTGGTTCCTGGTACTCTATCCCTTTGTGGAGGATTTTGTCCAAAAATGGTCTACTCCTCGTAGTTAACCTACATGTGTCTTGCCTTTATTATGCCTTGTTGATCCCTATAGATGATGCTCATTCCTTTATGGATCCATCTACTCGTTGCTTGGCTCTGCCATTCAACCCTTGCTTACCTCCGCTCTAATTCCCAAGACTTTGGCTGATTGGTCAAAATCCTTAAGTAGGGACCTGGCCATTGTTGGTGTTGATACTCAACTTGTTGATTTTGTTGAGCAGATGATTGTTGCATTGAACTTGCAGCACTGGATGCAAGGCTTAAGTGCTGTTCAGAGGGGCAAGCATGTAAGAAGGACTTGTTACATATGTCCTTAACTGGAGAGTGTCTTTTGGCTGTTCGCTGGATGAAATCAAGAACGCAGCGGGGGTAATAACTCGCTTACCCCAGACACACAAAACTAAGGATCAGTGGCACAGATTGACGCTGAACCTATCCATGGTGCACATTCCCGGGGTGGAAACCTGTCTGTCAGATTTTCTCTGGCAGGGGAATGGTCTCTCCATCTGGAAGTGTTCTGGGACATTTGTTTATGGGGGATTCTGTATTTGGATTTATTAGCTTTAACAAAAAGCTTAACAGATTTGTCTCCAAAATGCAGAATCCGACAGCGAATGCAGCATATGCATTGGTGGTGCCATGTGATCAGTATGCCCTTATGTATGTATTTTCTTTGCTGCTGCGGCCTTGCTCTTTCTTTTGTTGGGTTGATTCACTTGTATTGCTTTGAAAAAATAGGATTTTTGTACTTAGTGCGAGATCCTTTTCTAGGATCAGGTTAAGGTGTTTAAGTGCCTAATTAATATAAGTTATCTTTACATAAAGCTTATAGACTTATCATGCTAGTAGTCTTGTAGTAGATGTAGTGGATAGAGGCAATGACATGTGTATACACAATTTATTTGATTTATTACAGGTATTTATATAGCACTGACAATTTAGGCAGCACTTTACATTAGACTTGTGCGCCGTCAGAAAATTTGTTTCGTTTCGGAATATCCGTTATTTCGTATTCCGTAATTCGGATTCGTACGAAATACGAATTTTCGTTAGTTTCGTCACATTTTCGTAACTTTACGAACATTCGTTATGATGAAGTTAAAAAGCAAAAATACCTTTGTTAATATTGGAGTCGATGGTAGTTTTTTTAAAATCTGAAATACGAAATTCCGTTAACGTATTTCGGATCCGAATTTCGTATTTCGGATAAAAAAAAAAACTACCATCAAGGCATCAACTCCCAATATTAACAAAGGTATTTTGCTTTTTAACTTCATCATAGTGAATGTTCGTAACGGAACGAAAATCCGTTAACGGAATTTCATATTTCCTGCCTGTATTGTAATGCAACCCTCAGCAGCAGCGGATCCGAATTTCGTATTTCGGATAAAAAAAAATCTTGTCATGTTGTTCAACCTCATTTACAGGGGTAATACTAGTTCTTGTTTCAACGAAATTCGGATCCGGAATTCGTTAACGGAATTTCGTATTTCGGATATATTTCAGAAACTGCCATTTGGATTTCGGAAGCTTCCGAATTTACGAATTTCAGGAAATTCGTACGAATTTTCGATTCGTAACGAAACGAATCGCACATGTCTACTTTACATAGTGCACACTAACATCAGTCCCTGCCCTCAAGGAGTTTACAATCTAAGGTCCCTATCTCACATGCATACATACGATGGCCTATTTAAATAGGTGCCAGTCAACCTAACAGCATGTCTTTGGAGTGTGGGATGAAACCGAATTACCTGGAGGAAACCAACGCAAACACAGGGAGAAAATGCAAATTCCTTGCAGATAGTGACCTTGTCCGGGACCCCAGTGCTGCAAGTCAGAAGTGCTAACTACTACGGCACTGTGCTCCCTGCCCAATGAGATATACTGCTGTAAAATAATCATCTTATTGTAATAAGCTGAAATTGCATATAGTCCACATAAATAGTCGTGGAAATGCCTTGATATACTTCATTAAGTTCACATTCATGTTATCAGAGAAAAATGCTTTCCTTTCTTACAGGGAAGTAGTGAAAATGAAACAGCGATATGAAGTGGGCTTACAGAAACTGGAATCTGCATCATCCCAAGTTGCCACCATGCAGGCTGAGTTAGAAGCTCTCCAGCCACAGCTGAAAGTTGCCAGCAAGGAGGTGGATGAGATGATGGTAGTCATTGAGAGAGAGTCAATCGAGGTGGCCAAGACAGAGAAAATTGTAAAAGCAGATGAAGCGGTTGCTAATGAACAAGCAATGGCTGCCAAAGCAATCAAGGATGAATGTGACAGTGACTTGGCCCAGGCTTTACCTATTCTGGAATCTGCTCTGGCTGCCCTGGACACCCTTACTCCACAAGTGCGTATCTCCTGCCTAGATTATTAATAAATTGTTGTTTTATCTGGTATACACTTTAAGTTATTATACCTGCTGCGCTACAAATCAGTTCTGTAGATAAGCAGCTGCTATAGCTTGTTATTTCTCATAATAATTTAAAGGAAACTGGTTGCATTTCACTGACATTTACAAACTGGCACTAAAAAATAATGAACCCCTCAAAAGTAAAAAAACATTTTTTTTTCAAAATAGCTATTTTTATATGGGTTTCCAGTTGCGCAAAAATAAACATATAAATTATAGTGGAATTGTCATACTAGAATAGGGGAAATAAACCCCTACTTTTCAAAGAACTATGTCCAATTTAGTGTTTCCATTGAGGTAAAAGCTATTTCTGGCAGTCTCATGGTAGTTTATTTTTTTATTGTGGTTAAAATGGAAAAAATACCCCAAAGCAGAAAGCCAGGCAGTGACGTGAGCAGGTATTTTCACAGCATGCGACTTGCAGACTATCGGATATGTTAATCACCAGTTCATATCCTTGGCAGGTACACTAGGAGGAAAACTATGGGGTGTATTCACTAAGCTGCCGTAGGCAGCCGAGTGAATGACCGACCTGAAGTGAAGTGAGCCGAACACTGTTCGGCTATTCACTTCAGGCTGGTACGGCTGATTTCAGCCGTACATCGGCTGAAATCAGCCGTACATCGGCTTGCTTCACATGGCTTCAGCCAATAGTAATGTAGCAATGTATTTCAATGGGAAATGTCTTTTTTTTTTCTATTCTGACATCGCTCCGTGTCAGAATAAAGAAAAAAAAAGAAACAGCAGTGTTTCTCTCCTTGGCGGCCGGGAGCAGGAAACTCCCGGGGCGCCAGGGAGCGTTAGCTGTTTGGAGATCAGCGTCCTTGATTAGCAGGTAACCAGGGACGCTGATCTCTCTGCAAGTGGCCGAAGCCAGCCTTAAGATCACGGCTGGCTCCGCCCAGCTGTCAGAAGCAGGCTGTCGGCCGGCCAGCTTCGGCTTTCAGCACGGCTCAGCCGGGGGGGTCCTGGGGCCGAAGGATCGGCAGCTTTGTGAATAGACCCCTAAATTGAAGTGTAGTTTGGTGCTAAGGGCATGTGGGCTGTTTAGACTCTGCAGGCTGTGTAACATCTTGTAAGCAATGTATGGTCTTAAAACTTTTCTCAAAAGCTGGGGAATTTCTGTTTTCTACTCTGTTCTATATTACTCCTCTCTGAAACAGGTGCCTATTTCAGTTACAAGCATTTATACTGGATCCTGTTCGCAACCTAATACAAGTTAATGCAATTTCCTATCTTGTGAAGCTCATTTACCATCACTTGTACCATACCTATTACAAGAATAATTTCTTTCTATTGCAGATAATGATTTGTGGAGCTTTTTCAAGACTTGTAATGACATATGTTTTTAGTGGTGATGATAAAAAATTGGGACTTTTTGTGTATAGCTGATAAACCAGAAATTGTGTAAATATGTCTGCAATACTCTACCATTCTTTTTCTTTATTTAAGATGATCTAAAACCAAAAACAAAAATGTAACACATTGCAGCTTAACAAATCTTAGATGTGGTTGCATTCGTTTTTATTTTTCAGGTTGAGAACATTTTACTGCAAGTGTAGAACATGTCTATTGATCTTGGCAGAAATTGAGCGCCCTTAGCACTTACTCTGAGCTGAAAAGACAGCAACAAATCTTGTTTTCCTTTTGTAAACATAGATCCAGTGGAGAAGTGAGCATAGCCACGAAACGAATGCAGCCACTAGATCTAAGAACTAGTAAGATGCAATATATTTAATTTTTTAGAGGGTTTAAATATGCTTTAAGGTCATTTTTTACTATCGGGCATAACTTAAAAAGATTCTTCATTAAGGTAGAATACTGACAGGTGAATCAAAGCCTGGGCTACTCTGTGTTTGCACTTGTATAGGGTTACTAAGTATGACCCTGTTCATAAGTAACTGAGGAGTGGTGTAGACATATTTCAGCCCAGTTACAACAATTTGAACTTCAGAAAAATAATTCTACTTACAAATATTCTACTTGTAAATTCAAAAGTGTTGATATATTTTGTGTTTGCTTTAGGACATCACAGTGGTGAAGTCTATGAAAAGTCCCCCTGCTGGAGTAAAACTTGTCATGGAGGCTATTTGCATTTTGAAAGGGGTGAAGTCTGATAAAATCCCGGATCCCTCTGGTTCAGGACGTAAGATTGAAGATTTCTGGGGACCAGCAAAAAGAGTATTGGGAGATATGAAATTTCTTCAGTCACTTCATGATTATGATAAGGATAACATTCCAGCAGCTTACATGAGCATAATACGGAAACAGTATATTACCAATGCTGAATTTGTTCCAGATAAAATTCGAAATGCATCTACAGCTGCCGAGGGGCTTTGTAAATGGGTGGTCGCCATGGATTCATATGACAAGTAAGGAAAAAAATACAATATATTGTACTCTTTTTGTATAGCTGTATTTTGTATACCTGAGAATAAATCTATGTTTGTTAGGAATGTTAAAATTCACTTAGGGGTCTATTTATAAAAAAAAATCCACACAGCTGTTTGTCCAGGGAAACTGCATGTCAATGTGTTCTGTGTGAATTAACCAGCTATGGTGAAAATAGGACAAAACTGAATGTTCTCTTCTGGTCAAATGTTCTACAAATCCCCATAGTAACAATGGTTACATTTATCTGCTAATTCCTTCCAGTGTTCTCTAGAATTGTTACATTTAATCTCTTGTTACTAATATGTATTATGATCCTCAGCTCCATCTAGTGGCCATAATGCAATATTTTCCTGATTCTCTTCTGGCAATAATATTTGAAGAACATTCAACCAGCGTTAAGAACATTTGATTCATACAACAGCTAGTTAATTTGCACAGAACTAATGTACATGCAGTTTTGCTAGATGAATTGAATGACTCACTTCCTCTGCTTGAAGTTTGTTTCAAGCATCAACTATTCTTTAGGTAAAATAATACTTTCTAAGGATAGTTTCCTCCTACCAGTTTGAGGTCATGTCTCTGTGTCCCTAAGCTTCATGTTGAATAAACTGCCCTTCTAACCCTTATTCACACCTGACATGTCATGTTTTTAACTGTGAAAATCAAAATCTGAGCAAAGAATTTGATACTAAGAGAATAGCAACATTGATGTGTATGTTGTAGGCTGCAGATTAAATGCTAACATTTTTATTTTGCATCACAGTGTTCAGGTGCCCACAGATTCCATTAGCCTGTTATTAATAGAAGCTGCTTGACGTATGCACATTCTTACTGTCATGAACACTATGAGCATCATTAATGAATCCAGGCCCGTGCTGTGGACACAGTAGGGGGAATTTATTGACATGTTTGCAGCAAAATTTTTAGTTGCAAAGACCAAAACCTCATGTTATCTAAGCGCAAAGTTTTATTGTTAAGTGTTATGATATGTCTTTTTTAAGTGCTCTTGTAATATGTTAATGTTTGTGACTCACTGCACGTGTTTTGCTTAATTTCGCATAATTTATGAACTGTGCAGTTCAGCATTTGTGACATTAAAAGCCCTCCAAACAGTTGCACATTCTAGAAGTCCTTTTAAGCACTTCTTAAAAGAATTACAAAGTTAATTCAGCTTCATACCATCTAGTCAACTAAGCACTTCAGGGCAATTCAGCTGACCTCCTGGAGGTTGACTGCACATTTGTGACAATTTAGAGAAAGATTTGAGACAATTCTCCGTTATGAAGATATTTAGGAATGAAACATAAACTAGTATATTAAATCTTTCTTTATATGCACTAGAAATCAGTGATGAGGCAATTTAAAAGATACTGATCATGTGACGAGATTGATAAATGGCCCCCAGTCTGTAACAGTCTTTGTGTTGTTATTTTTGGGTATTGTTACTAGTACATTTGTTCTAAGCACTGGAATCATGGCATGATTAACTTTTGGTGCAGGGTTTCTAGCCCATAACTAATGTAGATTCTGAAGATGTCTTAAAGTGTAACTCTTATTTTAAATTTAACAGTTAGATCAAACCCCCTAACCCCTGAATCTATCACTAACTCAAAAATTACTCCTTAAAACTAAACTAAATTGTGCAGGAAAATACAGATCTTAATTTGTCTCAGAAGCAAGAGTTCTGAAAGATAACAGAAAAAAACAGTGCACTAAAAACAAATGATCTTAGACAAGTTAGAAAAGTAACAATCTAAAAAGCTACCTGCCACTCCCATACTGACCTGCTGTGTGTTAGGGTCCGTTCACACCAGCAGCATGCACTATCATGCGGCTGCTGGCTTGTGTTGTGCAGGAAGCAATGGCGTGCAGTCATGTTAGCGCATCTCACTATTTAACTTTGTTTTCTTGTGCTCAAACGTTATTGAAACGTCACAAAGTGACATTTCATTCAATTCTATTCACCCCATTCAATGTGGTGTAGTGGGCATGTACTGCAAGTACTTTATTTTTCATACTGCAAAGCGGTGGTGTGAACTGACTTAATTGTAAACAAGTGAGATTGCATTAGGACTGCGCTAGTTAAAGCTGCCCAATGCAGCCCAACAAATCTGGTGGGAACTGGCCCTTAGAAAAGTTGGAAGCCTTTCATTCTTTATGTTGCAAAGCTATGAAAAGCGATTTATTTATTTAAAAGTAGTAATGTATATTGATACTTATGTATCTGTAAAAAAACACATTCATTTCACAGCTCTACACTTTTCTCTGTAGCCTAAGTTTAAGGAACTGTAATGTAATTGATGTACCATGTTCTGTTCATTAACATCATCCATTATATAAAGTATTGCCTTTACTTTTAGAGTGGCCAAGGTAGTGGCACCTAAAAAGATAAAGCTGAACCAAGCAGAGAGTGAACTGAAGGTTGCTATGGATGGTTTGAGGAAGAAACAAGCAGCTTTGAAGGAGGTACAAGATAAGCTGGCTAAACTTGAGCAAAAGCTTGAAGAGAACAAACAAAAGAAGGCAGATCTTGAGAATCAGGTATGTTCATAGATCTTTTAGTTTAATAAAAGTGACTATTACTGCGGCCACAAGGCATAGAGCCACTCTGATTGGCTTTGTGCTTTTTGCCTATGTTCTGCAATATCTATTTACAGCATGATCATTGGCATTGTGTGTAAGCAGGCGTGCACAAAATGTAAACAGAGCACTGTTAAAATGGTGCTCCAGAACACCATCTCCATCACTTTGTTGTTCTATAACTAGTGAAGTGGTTAAAGAACAAATTAAACAAAAGGACAGTAACCTGTTAGGCCCATGAAAGTGGGGCGCTCAACTGTGTGTGTGGTTGAGATGCTGCACGTAGAACCTGGAAGCTTTTGATCTAGCTTGTAGCAGGTGTTGTAGATAAAAAGCTGATGGCTTTAAACCATCAGCTTAAACCAGGATGCTTTGGGTCCTTTTTTTGTTAGATCATCTCAGATAATTTTTAAGGATCATAAATATGTTGGGTATTTAGAACCTCCATGCATCAAGATCAGCTAAGTTCCCCAGCCTCCACAGTTCAGGTCATACTGAGCTGCATTCAAGTGTCAAAAAATAAGCACATAATGCAGCCATTACATTTAGAATTAAACAACATAGTTTTTGCTTTTGTTTACATTTAAAGTGACATTAAAGTAAAAAAATGTTTTAACCTCCCACCAATGTTAATTAAAGCACTTACCTTTAATGATGTCTCTTAATCCTTCCTCTTCTTTCCTGTCCTTATCACCCTTCTCTCCAGCGCTGCTGCGGGTCTCTGATCCAGCGCTGACTCCTCTGTCCTTGCTGGCGCTTCCGGTCCCAAATCCTAACTGCGCATGCGCCCGCCCCAAAATGCTTTGCAGTCGCCTAAGCATTTTCAGACGGGAGCGCGCGGCGAAGACACAGGTAAGTTTAAACCGCTTTTAAAGCGTTTAAAAAAACAACTTTTTGCATATATCTAATGCTTGCTAGCATATATCTAATGCTTGCTAGCAGTAGATATATGCAAAAAAACGTGAGGGTTTAGAGACCCTTTAAGACAATTGTACTCTACTTCAAATACCAAAATCCCTAACTATCCCTACCTGAATGCTCTTTGAAGTTTGGCATTTGACCATTAAAAGGTAGGTATTGGATGTAAAGCTAAAAATTAATCTAAATTTGAGCAGACGTCAAGATGCCAGGTACAGCCTGGGCATAGCATTTTAGGGACTCTACAGGGACACAGTACAATTTAAAGACAACCACAGGTATTTTGTTTAGAACTTCAGCACTAAAAAAAGGTATTCACAGTGTAATAAAGTGGGACTTTTAAGGTTCCACAGAAACAAATACACACATTTATTTTTATACAAATTAAAAAGGTTTGTGTGGAATCCTTAGAGACATTGGAAACAACGCAAGTAAACATTGAATTTACTTATCACATATACGTATATCCTAATACATATAACCTAAATTGACCACCATTCAACAATATATTATATATTTTGAAGCCCCCAGGATGATACATTCACTTATTTTAAAATAGAATGACACTGCTAACGATTTTCCAAGGTTTTTGATCTGCTTTTTCAGGAGATATATAGGTACAGTCTACATCAGATATCTACAGTATCGTAATAAACATCACATCACATCAGTAATCATATACAATCTTTTTCGATTTTCAGTATGTCTACAGACCATAGTGAAAACTTACATAAATAACAATATACGCTTGTGCTTTACCTATGGCTTGTTAACATCTGGGGGAAACAGATGGGGGATTCCTGATACCACAAAGAGTTATGTAGTTATAATGTGCCTAAAACAATTATACACATTATATTATACTACATTCTGTCTAATACATTTTTATGTAAACTACTGCAGGGGCCACACATTAATACAACTGAATTATCTGTACATTAAGTGTACTGTATATACTGTATATTGATTTCTATATATTTATGTATCTTATATTAAACTTCAGCACTATTGTTGCCTTCAAGATATTTTAGACGAGCTTAGGTTCACTTCTGTGTGAGAAAAAGTGTATTTTTTAAAAGTAGATCTGTGGTGAAGTGCATTTTTAAAATTTTATTCACCTCTCCCCCTCGCCTTGCATATATTATTTCATTGACATGCATTTGTTTTAACTATGCAGTTTAAGTGTCACGTCACCATTTTGGTAATTTAATTGGCCTGTTATCTAAGTAATGCACATGAAACTTGATTTTTTTTGTAGCCTTCATTAGTAGTGTTGAAAGTAATATTATTTATATATTTGACAACTCTCATCACCCAAACAATTACTGAAGAAGCAGACTAATATCCATTAATTGATGGTAGATCTGCAATTGTTCACTAACTTTTTTTAGCTGATGTTAGATATGTCTATAAAGAACAATGTCCTTCTCTTAATATGCAATATCTAGTTTTTGTACTTAGCAGAGCATAATGTGTTGACTGCTTTATAGAAGTGGCATTCTGGGGGCTGAAGCTCACAAATTAGTTGACATTAATTATGTTGCTTTGCATGGTGAGAATTGATGAGCTTCAATAAAAGAAAGTATTTGCATCAAAGGCTTTGTGTTCCATATTTCTAGCAGCTAGTTTGTTAGTGCTGTTGAAGTTAATGATGTTTTCCCTCTGTCTCTGTAATTTCTTTTTATAATCAGCTGCAGTATGCAGTGATTGTTATATACACATATTAAATTCATAGAACCGATTAAATAGTTTTAGTAATCACACCTCATTAGTTTATAACAAATTATTTAATCTTTTTGAAAAGTATAGATAAAACTCTAACACAGTTACTTTCTTCTCAAGTACACCTTTGCACATTGTAATGGAACTATAACAAATTAGCTACAAAGTTAGATGCAAATCAGGTTGCCTCTCATTTCGCAGAGTGTATGCAACATGGTTTTGTGTATTTTGTGACACCTGTGCTTGGAATCCTTGCAACCAACCGAAGACAGTTTTGCAAATGCATTGGACAGATTTAGCACTGTAGATGAGACACACACACACACACACACTTAAAAATTGATCAGAGGAAAGTTTTACTTTGTTGCAGTGCTACTTTACCTGCAATTTGAAATCTTATATAGATAGATATAAATACAGTATATGTTTAGCTCTGTCTTGGTGTATGACAGAATCAATAAATGTCCCCCTCTTTGTTGCCCGGAACATCCAGTTTGGTGTTAGCATTTATTTTCAGATTGCAGTGGAAACATGGCAGCTTAGACCTAACTAGTTACTATCTGCATAAAAACATGTTTTTTTTTTAAATTATTATTTTTATTAGTCCAGGTGTGTTTTTTAGATTTTAATTATCAAGTCACAATTTGCCCTGTGCATAAATATTGGTGAATATTTTTGAAATCTAATGTTATTTGTTAACATAGAACAAAGTTGGCCATACACCTATAGATTTTCTATAGATTTTTTTTATCATCCTACGGTCAGATGGAAAAAGTGCAACAGATTCCTCCATCTACACTAAACTGTATGGATGGAGGAATCTCCCACTGGGCCAAGCTACAGTAACAATCGTATTGGATGCAGGCTTTGTTCAAGTATTTTGACAGGCAGCGGGGCTGACTAGCAAGATACTGAAGTTTGGCCCAGCTGAACTCTCCTCCATCCACACGGATGGAGGAATCTGTTGCACTTTTTCCATCTGACCATGCGCTGATAGAAAAAAATCTATTGAAAATCTATAGTTGTATGGCCAGCTTTAGTTGTGTTATTGTGTAATTGTTTATTTTGTATCAACCTTGCATTCATTATCAGCATGGAAGGAGACTATTTTGTTTCATCGTAATTGTACTTGCACAAAACATTAACCCAGTTAAAAATGTTATTGGGTGCCAGGATAAAGAGGCAGGGGAAGCTAAATAGGTAAGACCACAGCAGCTTCTAAACAAACCTCATATGCCATTCGTGGTAAGAAGCTGTCACATTTTTTACAGCCTTAAAGTTTAATTCTAGTTATCATGTTGGCATCATAAAGCATAAAAGGTATTGAGGTTCAGGGACAGGAACACAAGATAGCGGCATACGCTGACGATATTCTTTTCTTTGTGCGACAACCCAGAACCACAATTCCCAATCTTCAATTCCCAATTGAACAATTCGGTAAAATCTCAAATTTCCGTATAAACTTACATAAGTCAGAAATAATGAACCTTACAGCGCCCCCACAGGAATGCCAACATCTTCGTAGTGTGTTGCCATTTATCTGGAGTTCAAATAAGTTGAAATATCTTGGCATACAGTTGACCCCTAATAAAGCCACTACAGTGCTCACTGGGCAACACGTTGTCCCCACTGTTGTTCACAGAGCACTGCAGTGACATTATGATGGCTCAGTATTGAACTTGGCCCTATAAGTTGTTGAGTGCCGAGCTTACGGTGCCGTTTGATGAACTAATGAGGAATACATTTTGCTGAAACACAGATTTATGAGAGCAGAGTGGTTTTAGAAATACCGTAATGTTTATTTTGGAGTTGGATTGTAATGGCTGTGCCTAGTTACACGTCATTTCAATTTTCTTTCTAGCACCTGTGTAAGGCTATATTTTTTAAAGGTTTTTTAAAGGTTTTGTGATAGTGATGCAATATATATTGTGACAGGGTACACGACTCTGTGTATGTCAGTGAGAGGTTGAAAAGGGCAGCTTTCCCTGGCTAGGAAAGGGTTAAACCTCCTCTCTTTCTCTCTCTCTATTAATTAGCCTGCACCTGAGAGTGAGGGAGAGGGAGTGAGAGCTCAGAGTAAAAGGAATTTTCATTTTGCAGAGGAATTTTTCCTTAGCTTAGTGAATGTGGTGCAGCTCTGCAAACTTCCATCAGCCAATGATGAGCAAGCAGAAATACTGTTTTTTAAAATTTTCTTTGCAAGTGATTGGGTATTCTTTGCAAAGCATTTTTTCAGCATAAGTGCAGTTACACCTAAAACTTCCCTTCACCTATTTTAGACCACTTGGCTCATTATTATAGGTGAAGGTAGGAATGTAGATATTACACATAAGCTACATGTCTTGTCTGAAACCAAAATAGCTCAAAACACCATTCTGTTATACCATATGGCCAGGGCTTGAAAAATCCACTCGTCCACTCGTCTTTGACGAGAGGACGGTGGAGCCCGACGAGCAGCTTCCCGGCCGGTCGTTGTAATTACACGGCCGGCCGGAGGCGCACGCAATTTTTAGGCTTGACATGTTTGGTGTCTATTTACCCACCGTGACCCCGAATTTTATGTTTTACTAAATATAGTAAAACATAAAATAAGAATATGGGTAAGAATAAATGTTTTATAACATAACGTAGGGAAACTTTTTTTTTTTTTTTACATTTATTGTACTTTTTTCATAATATAGTAACAAAAAATAACCCTCCCCTTCCCCCCCAGTGGTGATTATATACCTCCAAAAGAAAGCTCTATCTGTCCCTAAAATGTTTTAACATAAATTGCAGTCCGGTCATGCTGAATTTTTTCATGCTGAATTTTTTTCAAGAAGCCCCGCGTATGGCAGGTAAACATTACCTTGTGGAGGGTAAAGAATGCGCTACCTGTCACGGGATTTGTATTGCTCTTCATCTAATTGTGAGGTTTAAAAACCCTGCCAGATGGCAGAGCCAAGTTGGTGACTTGTCTTTTCCTTATTGAGGAGATACAGTAGGTCAGCTCCCTGTGCTCAGTCTGTGATTGGAGCAGTGAGGAAGAAGCAGAAGATTCAAGAGATCATCTCTGCTCTCTCCTTTTGTTAGCATGTTCCTTATCCTGTATTTACTGGTGTTTTTGAATAACTGTCTGGATTTCAGATTTAAAGGGGATGATTATGATATCTTTGGCTGCTTTGTAAAAATTAAAATGTGATCAAAACACTATAGGTTTTTTTTTTGTTACAGCAGTGAGTTAATATATTACTAATGAGTAGTATATGTGTTTCATATTTTTCAGTTTTTATTGAAGAGATTCCAAAAATGAAATTTCACCAGTACAAGACAGATTGCTCAATAACTGTAATATTATCTCTGCAGGCATTATAAGTGAGAATTAAATATTATAGGACGTAAATATTATTCGGAAGTATGAATACAAAGGAATGCACAGTTTTAAATGAGAATGAGCCCTATATGGTGCCAGGATAAAGAAAGAAATAGATATAGTTGAGTCTATTTTAGACAACTTTGCTTGCAGAATTATCCGTTATTCTGCTGTAATAGAACAGTGGAACAGCAATTAACAGGATGAAAGATTGAGGACAAAAAAAGATAAAAAAGGAAATAATATGACATGGCACTGGGAGGATATTTGCAACAGTATTTTATATTGTATTTTGTTTGTTTTATACATTTATGTGTATACTTCTATGAGAGCAAACTAACGAGTGCAAAAATGCTTTTTTCTGTTGCATCGTTAATGTTAGCAGCAGTTATAATGGTAAAGATTGATGAGAGCAAGAGGTTTAAATCAGATGCATTGCATTTCAAACTTTTAATAGTCATGCCTTACAGCAGACACCATACGATGCATACTTTTATTTTTCATAATATATAACCTTACAAGTCTGCATACACAAATTCCGCACTATGCACATTATATAGCAATAGTATAATTTTTCATTAAAAAATATACATTTATTTAATATAATGTACACCTTTAATCAATATAAAGCAGACCTCTAGCTCCGGTCAAGTGACTTTGACTAGGCTGAGATGATGTCATCAGTTTGCTGCAGGCAGAAGGCAACATTTCCTAGTCTCCTTTTCCCCAATTATCACCCAGACTGCAAAATTGGAACTTTGTAACTGAAAAACAGCAGCAGAGGACTGATCTGTTTCAGACATGTATAGATACAGGCAGAAACTGCACAGGCATGAGGATTTACATGAAATACAGAATTGTGGATAATCCTGAACAAAGATAGTTCCAACCTATTGGAAAGAAAAGCAGATGGCATTGTCAGGGGTAGTACTGTGATCTTTGTGAGAGAAAATACTCATAAGTGTTACATTAACACTTTACTTAGCATGCATGGACGTTACATGAAAAAAATATATCTAATGCCAGGTCCAGTTTAACAAGAAATGCTTCTTCTGTGCCCATCTCTGATTTAATTTTATGCATTTAGCAATAAATAGATGTTAGACTAAAGTGGTGCTTTTAGTGTGGGGCTATAGAATGATCTGTCTCGTTATTAAGGAACTGATACATTGACCCTAAAGGAGTAGACTAAGGATGCACCGATACCGGTTTTTCGGTATCGAGTACGAGTACCAATATTTTTTTTTCCATACTCGATGATACCGAGTTCTGGTGCCGTGTGCCCCGATTATTAGGAAGTTGGGCGGCGGATCATGACTCGTTGCCCGGCTTCCTGATTGGCTAGGAAGCCAGTTTCACTTGTTGGTAGGTAGCCTGGCTTCTTAAACAATCAGGAAGCCGGAAGGCACGTCATGACTCACATCCTGGCTGCCTGATTGGTCAGGAAGCCAGGGTGCTCAGCAACAAGTGAAGCCGGCTTCCTAAACAATCAGGAAATCGGGAGGTGGGTCATGACATGCCGCCCGGCTTCCTGATTGGCTAGAAAGCTGGATTCACTTGTTGATAGGCAGCCTGGCTTCCTGACCAATCAGGCAGCCAGGATGTGAGTCATGACGTGCCTTCCGGCTTCCTGATTGTTTAAGAAGCCAGGCTACCTACCAACAAGTGAAACTGGCTTCCTAGCCAATCAGAAAGCCAGGCGGCACATCATGACCCGCCTCCTGGCTGCCTGATTGGCTAGGAACCTGGCTTCACTTGTTCCTAGGCAGCCAATCAGGAAGCCAGGAGGCGGGTCATTACATGCCATCTGGCTTCCTGATTGGTTAGGAAGCCAGACTGCCTAGCAACAAGTAAAGCCAGCTTCCTAGTCAATCAGGAAGCCAGGAGGCAGGTCATAACCCACTTCCCGACTTGAAACGAAGTCGGGTCCATGCTCCCTCAGCACTGCCGGTCAGAGGGAGATTTCCCTCTGACCAGATGTTCCGGTATCGGAGGTAAGTATCTGAGCATTTGGGCGAGTATGAGTACTACTCCTTTAGTAAATCAAACCCAAGGCATAGAGTTTTGACACACTTCATGCGGGTGGGAGGGAGTGGGAGAGTGAAGATTATAATAGTCTCTTGAACTCTCTATACAACTTTGATCATTGACTTAAAACACTTTTTTGGTTAGGTGTATGTGTGAAGGTGATTATTTTCCTTCATGCTTAATACTTGATCTTTTTTGGGGGGTTTTGTCTAGAGTGGGGAAAAGTAAGTACCTCTGCCAGGTTTGTATTGTTGTCTTTGGCCCATTGGGGAGACTGCCCTTCCCTTCCTATCCTGTTGTCACACAGGAAATGAGAATCTTCACAGTAGGAACAAAAATTAAAGTTAAAAAAATTGAATGTTTTGTTTTTTTTCTGAGTGCCTCTTATTAAAAAATTATCTTCCTGTTCTGAAGCACATGCAAGGATAAGTATCCCCAACAGAGACAGACAGATTTTAATCCTCCTTCCTAACCAAAACAAAAAAAGATTTTTGCTAAAGTTCCATTTTCAATATTAATACAGGCAGTGGCGGAACTACCGCCGGTGCAGCCGGTGCCGGGGGGGTTTTTCCAGGCTCTGTAGGGTCTAACCAGAGCCCTGGGCTTTGTATGGTCTTACCAGGGCTCTGTGGCGTTTAACCACAGAGCCCTGGTGAGACCCCAAAGAGCCCTAGTTTAATGAGTAGCTGTGTACTCCTTTTTTTCTTTCTTTTGTGAAATACTTTTAAAATGGTGGTGGAGGCCAAGCTGAGCCTTGTAGGTCCACCATAAATAGAGATGTTGCTTAACCATGACGCATACAATAAAATAGAGCTAAATATAATATTACATCTAAAGTGATCTAGAAGAACAAATAGAAGTGACATTTCAGGACTGATAAGCTGTTCCAGGGCAGATCGGTTCTCCTGCACATGTGATTTGCGATGCCAATCTGCCCTGGAACAGCTGGAAAAGCTTCACCTATTGGCCCGCGCCCCCCCCCCTGTCTTGGGAGGGGGGCCCAAGATAAAATCTTGCACCAGGGCCCTTTGGTTATTAGGTATGCCACTGAATACAGGGATGTGTATTGCATTGACTGATTATGAATTTTTACCATTGGATTTAATTTTCATTAAATTATCTCTTTTTCTGATATTTATATTAATTAGCCAATTCTCTTTTTAGGTTGACTTGTGCAGCAAAAAACTTGATCGTGCAGAACAACTGATCGGAGGTTTAGGTGGTGAAAAAACAAGATGGAGTCAAACTGCAATAGAGCTTGGAAAACTTTATGTTAACCTTACAGGGGATATCCTAATTTCTTCAGGAATTGTAGCTTACCAAGGCGCTTTCACTTCTAGCTACCGACAGGTAACTAAATTGGACATAGTAATTTGAATTAAGCAGATCAAAAATGTTGAAATAATTTTACAGTATATTTTAAAACATTTCCTACTTTTATTGTGTTTTCTCCAACCTTTCATTCTGTATTGGGCAGGAAAACTTAATTGACAATATAAATGATATCTAATTTTACAATACAAACCTTACATTAGGAATAGTGAAGAAATGCTTACATTAGGTAGACATTTCATTCTTATTTTTAGAATTCATTAATACACAGTGCTTGGCTTTCCATATGAACATTTGCAGACTAATAATAACTGCACTTTAAAAATGAAGAAAAATAAGTCCTCAGTTTTTTTAAATTTCATTATATGAATATAGGTTGTATCCATAGAGAATAGTCTGTGAATGTTGTGTAAAATTCTATAGCATAGGTTCACAGTAACAGCTTGAAAAATGAATATGATGGGGAAATCATAAATTCACAGAACATTATGTAGAGCTACAGCACAGACACAGTTCAGCCTGACCATTGTTTGGATACAGAAATCCAATGATGTGTGATAGATAGGCACCTGTGAAGGGGTTCCCAGATTATTAGGAAACCAATACCCAAGTGATTTTGCTCACTAGCTGGTTGGCCCTAACACTACAGAGAAAATATTGTATCAGAAACAAAACAGATGGGCTAAAGTTTCTGTGTGTATTTTAGTGGGATAATTTTCTATAATTGCTGGAATGCACCTTTAACTTTTACCTGCCATGTTTCTCACAATTGTCACCATATTCCCAGGGCCACTCCATTTTTTAGATGAATTTTAAAGCAGTCTTTACTCTTATTCACTCTTTTCTCTTTTTTTGTTCTTTCTCTTTTCTGCATCCCAGTAGCAATGACCAAAGGATATACAGGTATCTTATATTATTGTATAGTTGTAGGGTTTGATGACCTGTCATGTTTCTCTTAAAAGGGTGAAATGGAAAAGAAAGAAAGTCCATACATATGCAAATCACAATCATGCATTCACCATGCTGGTTCAACAAATGTGATTGGTAAAAATGTATAAAACTCATATCGCTGAAGTAGTCCCAGCAGTATTAACCATTTTGCACATCAGAGTCCACTTCCACAAGACCACTGGGATACACTTACTAACTCCTAACAATAGCAACATTATTAAGCATTCAAAATCACCAGTGTACAAATTTTGCAACAAGAAAAAAATTCTATAATGTGTACAATACAATAAAAATACTTAAGATAGTATATTAGATCATTAAATCTAGGGTTGCACAGATACCAAGTACAGTACTCGTTACAAGTACGAGTACATGTACCGATACTTTTGAGCTCCAAGACTACACTTGAAAAAAATTCAAAAATTAGGAGGCCGCTGTCATTTGTAAGGAGCACACGGAGCTCCTGGGATTTGTACGTCTCTGTTTTAATGTACGATTTAGTTTTTATAAATATAAATAAAGGGATGCACAGATACCAGTTTTGTGAGTTCGAGTACTGGTACTTGCCGAGTACTTACAAGTACGAGTACTGATACATTTTTTTTTATTGTCATGTGACAGTTTTTCTAAAACAATACAGACTAATGATTTCAGGACAGTGGTGGAGGGCCAGAGCCAGGTCCCAGCTGGAACCGCTGCAACCCAGGTAGTTCTCATGAAAATGCCAAGTATCTGCACTGGTACTCGAAAAGTATCTGTGCATCCCTAATTAAATCCATACTTCCTTGCATTTTAAAAAACAATTCTCTGTCTCTTCCATGATCCAGAATTTATACCATTTAGAAACCCACAACATTAAACAATGAGCGACAAAGATGTTCTAGTCTCCCAGATAATTTTGCCCACATTGTCCCTTTCTGAACAGACAGACACGGGTTAGTGACTATTTTGGAAGTTGCCTCTAGGATTTTAATCTTCCTTGCAGTCCTTGCAAGGATTGTTAAACTAATTTTTAACAAATATTTCCCTTAAAGGGCATCTCTTATTGAAAGAAAAAGAGCACAACTGCTAACCTTCATTTCAGCTTTGCATTTCTATGTACAGTGTCCCAGTACTGGCGTATTATTTGCTTTATTTTCTTAGCAAATGGGAAGCTTTTGAAAATCATAATTTTTGCTCTAATATAGACTTTATTAATAATCATTATCATAACCATTATGTATTAATCTACCACAGCTCTTTAGATTCTTCCTCACAATCTTCATATTAGGTGCTGTTATGTCTCAATCTCACAAAGTGGCCTGGGGTATAACTTTTACACATTATATAATACATTACAATAAAGAGTTAATTTCTGCAACCCGTTGCTTTCAGACAGCCTAAAATCCCTTGAATCTTAATATCTAACAAAACTGTCTCTTTACCACCAAAAAACAAGGTGAACTGCATTTTTTGCATTGTTCTTCACCTCACAAAATAATGACTACATCAGCCACAAATGTAATCCATAGACTCTGCTAAGGAATGGATTCTTGTCAGTATAAATATTTAAGTCTTCCAATGTGCTAGAAAAAGATTCAGATTACTTGAGGTCACAGGGATCCCCACAGCAGTCACTGCTATCAACTGGAATTACAGTGTATTTCCTTTCAAAGAAGAGCATGCTCTGGGTCAGCACAACATGTAATGCATAACAAACAAAACAAAAAAAAATCAATATTACTTCTTTATTTTATTACTTCTTTATTTTCTGTTTCTAAGGTTGTCTAAGTGCTAGTGTATATGGTCTTCTGGGATAAGTTAAGTTCAGTTTGAGACCTGTTTGCGATTTTCTTTGGTGCCTTTCTTTCTTTGTGACAAATGCAATGCAAATGCATCACAAACTGATTTTAAACACCCATATACACGCTAACTCATCTAAGGGATCCTATTTTATAGACTTACAACAGCTGGCAAGACTGCGCTGCCAATCAGTCAGTGGTACAGAATATATTCAATACATACATCAAAAACATACAGTTGTACAGTACGTGTCAGAGGTTTTAGCGTAAAATCTCAAAATGTAATGGTTGTGTAACCAAACTGATCCCCAAGATGATAGGATTTCCCAGTAAAGCTTGTGTTTTACATTTTTAGCAGGTTTTACCAATTTGGTTTCCAAGGATGTAGACAATGAAGGTTTACAAGAAAGTATACAGTATAGATTTTTTACGTCTACAACTAATCTCAACACATTATTATACGAAAAGTCTGGAGATATAGAGGGATTGATTGACAAATTCTAGTAACTAGTGTTCTCCATCAATTGATGTAAATTTTCTTTTTATACATCTGCACAAGGACAGTACTGTCACATTACAAATATAGTCCCGGCCTCACTGGGGAGAGTGTTTGTCACATATGCATATGTTCAGTAAGTAACCCCCCTGCTGGGGGAGATTATTATGGACTCTAAAACCAATTCTGGGGGTGATTATTGCTCCCACTTCCACAAATGCTGGAGGGTTTTATTGTGGCAACTTGCACCAATGTAGGGGTTATTATTGCGTTCACTAAAATCAATGCTGGCAGTTATTATTACTACTCCCAATGTTAGTGCTTCTTTTCTCTTCAGTGTGCATTGTGATACCCTGCAGAAAATACAGCAGGACTGGAATTTGAGTCTTGAGGTGCACTACAGCCCATTCATTTTGAATGGGTTGCCCCAACTTGACACAATGCACCTCAACACTCGAAAACATGCTGCTGTTGTGTGGCCCTCTCAAAGTGCCGGGAGTCACGCTAAAGGCCATTTATCGTTTTAAGGTTGCCACTGATTTAAAGACAATAGAGATGTTGCCTCCAATGTTTTAACTATTGTATTACCAACACTTTTTTATTTTACTAAATTTAAGGTTGATTTATTTTTGAGTATCAAGAGTATTTCTTCTCATACAGTTGGTCTCTTAGGTTTTAATATTAGTGCTATCTCTGTTTGTGATGCCAAACAAATGTTAAAAGATTTACGTGAATTGACAGGATGTTCTATCCAAATGAAAAAGGATGTCCTCTATAAATTAAATGGATAGAAATCTGAAAAAACTTTAATTAAAAATATTTATTGAATCCCCCTGTGGTTCCAGGAGGCACTCTTGATATTTCCCAAAAAGGGCTCTCCAAGGAAATAATAGATTTGATTGATCCTAAGCATTAACTGAACATAAATGAAAAGTGAAACGGCCCAAGGGGAATACATCCATTCCAAGAAGATGTATAAAAAAGAAATTTTATGTCAGACTTTGACAACTGATGCAACTTTTACATTACAGCTATAACTCCAGAGTCATGGACATGGGTTGCATTAGTAAAAAAAATTGGAGAAATTCTGTATTGTGAACATCCTTTGAATTATCTGATGAAATTAAATGTAAGCTTTATCGATTCCCTAGGTGGTCCAATGGTCCCTGGGATTGGTTTGATTACAGAATCTCTAGGTTTATAGATTTAATGCTAAAACATTTGCCAAGCCTACCTCTGCAGCAGCAAATTACTGCAGTAGTCATCTATTGCTTGCTGATAGCAGTAAGCAATAGATAATAATATAAGGGATTTGTTTCTGCAGAGGTATATGGGGGGTTGGATTAGCCCCCCGATCTGATCCAAGACTATAT